ATCAACATGGCTCGGTGAAATTACGACTGAAAAGTTCGAACTGGCTCCAATACGTGAGCACTCAGCTGAGATTGAAGGAATAGCTTCGGTCAGTGGCAGCAGAGAGGGTGCTCAAGAATTGACCAGCGACAAAGCCCTTTCTGAAGCCCCTGCTCAGAGTGATATATACGAATTTCTGAGGCAAGAAGCGAGGTGGTCAAAACCAGAGCCTTTCCCTACATTTTTTGATTACGCCGTCTATTTTCGAGACTGCGATGGAGGAGATTACACTAGCCAACCCCCATCGCCAACAATTCCTACGTCATCCACCGCGCTTTCAACATCTTCTTCGTCGTCAATATCGCGGGCCACTAGCAGCTATGCTTCTACTTCTCTGTCTATAAGCGTTTCGGGCAGAGACGAAAACGACTCTCTTCGTCTCCTTGACATACCACGACCAACCAAGCTTGACATCGCCGGCCACGTCAAACCTTTCAGATCCCGGTTCATCAAAGATGTTTCCAAGGTCAATAGCGTAAGAGATGCAGGCGCGTGTATGAGATGTCGCTTACAGAGAGTTTCATGTACAACCTCAGGGATTTGTCAGACTTGTATCAAGACATATCCCAAAGCCCCTGACATCTGCTGTAACCGCAAAGATTTCGCAACGGTTGCACTAGAGTACTCCTCAAGGAGATGTGAGGAAACCCCGATTCCTTTGGAACTGGGTACCCATGTTACTAGAATGCTGACAGCTGACATACTCTAGTTGCCGGCTTAACTCACAAGAACGATGACATCGTCAAGGAAATCCTTCGTTCTGCGCGGCCAGAGTTTGGTCCCCAGGTCTTTGAAGGACAGATATTTTTGGAACGGAGCTGTACCGGCGTTCCACTTCAAGCTTGCCTCAGGAACTACACTTGCAAGACAGTGGGTACGGATACCATCACCCATGTCGGATGTACCTTCTCGAGGACGCACTTCAACTCTGCGTTGTCCCAAGATCATCAGCTCCAATGGACTGAGCAGTCTTTGTCGCCCGAGGACTTTAGCACTTTTGAAGGCGGCATTGAGTCTCTCATCAGGACATACGTCAGATTGGGCAGTGCCCGTCAGCGGCCTCAGGTAAGACGCCAGCCTCTTTGCGCCGCCAGCCTACTTGCGCCGCTCTTGTCTCAACATTTCTGACCTTTTTCACAGTGCTCACTTCTCGAGAAAGTCCACATCTTCAAGTCCGCCTACAAGATTTGCAGAGCCCACACCCTTTTCTTCGTCCAAACAAACGATAAAGGTGTCGACGAACTCCCTCAACCGGCCCAGGCTGAGCTGCTCGTGCGGCCCTCGAATCTTCAGAGAGGGACATTCTCGACGAACTTGACAAGTACCTGAAAACACCCAAGATTGCTCAACAAGAAAGGCCCGCCATATGGGCCGCTCTGTGGCAATTGATATTGATCTACCGGGATCTCCTCCGCAATGTCCGGCCCTGGCACAACAATGCCGATGCCCTCTTCAACGCGGTCGCAGTCTTTTACGCGACTTTGTTCAGGACCACAGCTGCGCTCAAGTCCTTGAACGAGGTCAACTCTGCCTGGCTGCTCAGTGATCCTCAACGTCACGATCTCGTTGGGGCTCTCAACTATGCTCTGAGTCTGCGCGACAACTTCTGTAGGTCTTCCACAGGAACATGCTCCTCACTTACACGTTATTCATGACTAACACACCGTTCTTAGATCAGAGCATTGTTGCCAGTATTAACTTTATTGACGAGCGTCTGAGGTTCCTCGTTGTGGACCCTGAGATGAAGGTACTGAATCGTAGGGTGAGGAAGAAGCCTACTGGCGACAAAGATGGCGCTCCACCACACGATCATGACGGCGATACAGTCATGGACGGGTGTTGATTGCATGTCATGTGCTTCTTTGATGAGTGGGACGACATGCATATGCATGAATTGGTTTTCTTATTAGCGGGCACTAGGCATGCAGCGTTGGCATTGGCTTCATACATCGTGTAATCCCCACAGGATACTCGGGTGCGCTCTCGGTATAAGTCGCTGGTTACCACGGAGATTGTCAAGCGAAACGCATGGGAACGCATACAAGCATGATTCACAATTATGATATACGATATGAGTGGGGATTGTTCTTGGGTGCTCAATTGTCAATTTTCCTCAGTTTACTCATGCATTCTCAATTTCTAGTATCACATCATTCACATGAAGCCATCACCATCTGGGTCCCAAAGCTACGCTGTCATCAGCCTCTAACTACGCACGGCTCCATGCGCCGAAGAAGAGAGTCTTGTTCGATAAACTTTCCTCGGAGCCGGAACTCACTTGTCAGTCAGTCCCAGGACTTTTATCCTCTGAGTGTAACTCCGAAGCTTACCAGGCAATGGGGCCATCCGTGAACGCATGCAGCCAGATCGCTGGGACTCGGAGGTTCTCTCCTGTAAATCACCCAGGATAATGCGCAGTCTTATCAGAGCCGAACATGCGGGGATTCCAGGGCCAACCCAGGAACATGTCATCCGAAGTTGAGATGGATCATGGCCAAATCAGGATGCAGGGCGATATCTATGGGGTCGCTCTTTTTTGCGCGGGAAACGGACAAGAACCCCACCACATCGTTGACCGAGGGGAACCTGGTAACCACGGAGGACCCGGTATCATCAACGATGACAATCATGCGAGGTCATCATCTAAAAGACCTTCTAATGCCCTTTTGATTGATCAGAGCATACATCATCCACAAGCCAAGTAAAATAACAGCGGACATCTCAAGATGGCTTCAACACACCCCTATCAACAGCTTGACATCGATGAGCGGGTGAAGCGAGTACTTCTGAAAACACCCCTCATCGACGGCCATAATGATCTTCCTCAGCAGCCGCGCTGCTGTTTCAAGGGCAAGATCCACAACAACCCCAAATTCGACTTTGCGAATGGCTTCCAGAGGGGAATGACGGACATCCCTCGTTTGAGGGAAGGTGAGTTGCTCAACACACTTGTAGCCGTGACACCTTGGGCTTCCACTAACACGCATGGCAGGTGCTGTCGGTGGGCAGTTCTGGTCAGTCTGCGTCCCGTGCTTGCGGTCCGCGGAGAACTTCTCAACGGCAGAGTACTCGACCATGGCGCGCGATGCCATTGAGCAGATCGATCTCACCCTGCGCCTAGTCGAATCGTATCCAGAGACATTTGAACTAGTGAACGGGCCGAATGAGGTAAAGAAGATTTACGAGTCTGGGCGGATCGCGTGTTCGATTGGTATTGAGGGGTATGTATCTCATCGGGCTCGTGTAAGTCGTGACTTGGCATGCCAACCGGGTTGAACAGATTGCACATGGCTGGTAACAGCATCGGTATCATTCGCGCTTTCTATCGCCTCGGAGTCCGATATGTGAGTGAAGAGAAGTAACGACATGGTATCCGACGTGGCTGATGTGAAGTCTAGTGTACACTCACCCACGTTTGCAACAACGCCTTCGCAGATTCAAGCACTTCGAAAGTCGGACCAGTCCACGGTGGACTATCCAGATTAGGTCGCTCAGCCCTCGTTGAGATGAACAGACTAGGTACGTCGTCATCAACTTCGGACTCAAGCACCATGTCTAACTTCACACAGGGATGATCGTGGACATCTCTCACGTCTCAGAAGATTGCGCCAAGCAAGTTCTCCAGCTTTCCCGCGCGCCAATCATGTTCTCCCACTCCAACGTCAAGGGCGTGTTCGACTGCGCGCGCAACGTCCCCGATCACATACTCGACATGGTCCCCGCAAACGGCGGCATCATCATGGTAACCTTCGTGCCGGAGCATGTTGCCACCCGTCGGAGGGATGCCAAGATGGAGATGGTTCTCGATCATTTGTTCTACATTGCCGAGCGCATCGGATGGGACCACGTCGGCCTCGGGTCCGACTTTGATGGCATTGCTTCAGTGATCCCTGGACTGGAAGATGTTAAGTGTTACCCAGCGCTTTTGAAAGCCATCTTGGACCGAGGCGCAACGGAGGAACAGCTGGCCAAGGTCGCCGGGGAGAATATCCTCAGGGTATGGCGCGGGGTCGAGAAGGTGAGAGACGAGATGAAGGCGGAGGGTGTCTTGCCGGTTGAGGATGTCTGGGAGGGACGAGAGTGGTGGAAGTATGACGGCTATTACCAGATGAAGGTTGATTACGATGAGGATTCGGGAGGTGATTGGTACGGCGTCCCTCCTCCAGACGAGGGTTTGTATCTTGATGATGATGGTGATAAACAGTAATCACCATGGTCAAACATAAGAAATTGCAAGAAATATTCATGAAAGCTGTCAGCTTCTGATGTTTAACATGTAGAATAAATGGTCTTATGATGTTTGCCATGATTCCCCCAACTTATACTTTGTGTCATGATGCTATTCGCAACATCACTGATTGTGTTGCAGGCAATGACCGTACCAGAAACTGGCCTCAACCTCACCCAACCAAGATCGATCCTAGAAACTCGTACTTTACCCCAATTATTATTCATCGTAGCGACTTTCGAACATGATTCAAATGAATTATATCTGTTTGTGCAAATGGGAGGGGGTGGTGCGATGATTGCCGCGGAATACCCAACCATGGCATCAGTTTACTGTGTTTATGTCAAGTCAAGAACACCAAAGTTGTCTCAATTGGCCTTGAAACCGTCTTTCTATTGCTCTGACAAACAATCTCACCTCGCAACTCGGCACCCTGTTGCGACGTTGAGCGCGGGGTAGTCATTCACCTCCGCGGTTGAGATCTACCGGTGATAAGAGTTTCCCGCGGGATATACACCGACGAACCTAGTCATTCCCACCACTCTTATCAACTCCATCTCGCATATTCCCTGGCCGTTCTATCGTACGAATAATGCGGGGCAGCTCCGGTCTGGCACTTACACTGCCGACGTCCATATAAAGTCATACACTCCTTGAACGACGCCCAAGATGGCCGACTCGCGCCGCAACCGCCTTTATTAACATCTCACCCAGGATCTCGAGGAGAGCAAACATGGCGACAAAGAAAGAGCTGATGGCCGATGAGCCGTCCAAGGCCCTCGACCTCCTCGACACCGCGGAGGGCGAGATCGTCGATCCCCAGGAGTACTCGGCTCTCCTCCGCAAGATCGACTTCCGGCTGATGCCTCTGCTTTGCATCACATACGCCCTGCAATCCATCGACCGTACCACGCTCAGCTACGCGGCTGTCTTCGGTGTCCGCGAGGATATTGGTCTCACAGGCTCAGAGTTCTCATGGGCTGGCGCCGTGTTGTATCTCGGGTACCTTTTCTGGGAATTTCCGACGAACGTGCTTCTGCAGAAGCTCCCTGTCGGCACCTTCTTCGCGGCGACCGTCGTCCTCTGGGGCGCGGTCCTCATGTGCCACGGCGCCGTGCACAGCTTCCCCGGACTCGCGGCGACAAGATTCTTCCTCGGCATGTTCGAGGCCTCGGCCAACCCCACCACTATGATCCTGTTCTCCATGTACTACGAGCGCAAAGAGCAGCCTTTACGCATGGGCATCTGGATTGGATCTGCCGGGTTGGGATATATCGCCGCTGGAATCGTCTCATTCGGCCTCGGGCACATCTCGGGATCGATTGCGAGTTGGCGGATTCTGTTCCTGTTCTGGGGCTCGATCACTGTTGCGTGGGGTGCGCTGATGTTGATCTTCCTACCGGGCTCGCCTCTTACGACCAAGTTCCTGAGTGAGAAGGAGAGAGCGATGGTTGTCAACCGTGTGAAGACGAACGGTACTGGCGTTGAGAACAAGGAGTTCAAGTGGCCTCAATTTTGGGAGGCCATGAGGGACTTGAAGACGTGGTTGTTGTTCCTCTTTGCTGTTGCTAGCAACTCACCCAACGGTGGTTTGACGACTGTAAGTCAGAAAAATGCTTGAACGTGGGCAGATGCTAAACTCCAGCAGTTTCAAGGTCTTGTCATCAAGGGAATGGGCTTCTCGACTCTGCAGACTACCCTCATTCAGATGCCCTCTGGCGGAGTTCAGCTGATTCTCTGCCCCTTGGCATGGTATGTCACCCTTGAACCATCATATCTTGCATCTTTCTCACCTCTCCCAGCTTCTTCGCATCCTACTACCCCAACGCCCGTCTCACCATCATGCTTGCCTGTCTCGCGCCCTTCCTTGCAGGCATCCTCGGACTCTGGCTCATCGACCAGTCAAACCCGTACGGCCGCCTCGCCTGTCTCTGGATCTCTTTTGCCTACACCGCCACCTGGACGCTGTCCATGTCCGTTGCAACCGCTAACACCGCCGGACATACCAAGAAGATCACCACCAACGCGATGCTGCTCATTGGATACTGCGTCGGAAACTTCATCGGCCCCTTCTTCTTTAAGACAGAGCAGGCTCCCAGGTACACCCTTGGCGTCGCGATGATGATCTTCTGCGTTGGTCTTCAGATTGCTTGTTTGGCGGGCATCTGGGTTCTTCTGTGGACTCGCAACCGCTCACGGAAGACTGAGCATGCAGAGTCGCCGGAGAATGAGCAGCAAGCCTACGAACGAGGTCTTTTGGATCAGACCGACTTCGAGAACAAGTATTTCAAAGTAAGTGATCCGCAAGCAGTATTCTTGAGGAATGAACTAACCTTGTTCAGTATGTCTATTAAGTTAAGCGAAGGGGGAAGGTGTAGACTGGGAGTGGGCACAGGGTGGCAATTCACATATAGACACATTGATGATAAAATATTATATCCACACCAAAAGATGATTTCTTTACCCGAACCGCACACTATCACCGCACTCGCACTATTTGCTTGCAATTATACCGGTGGTCCCTGTTCCCATGTCCTTATTTGACCGTTGAAGTCTGCCTCAGGTAGTCTTCAGCCCTCAGGCAGCGTCCTTCTCTTCCACTGGCTTCCGTCCCCAGATAGAGTAGCTGCCACCAGTCAGCGATCTGAAGAAAGCAAGTCAGAAAGTGCACTTACATCGGCCAGTATGCATGAATGTTCCGGTCATTAACGTCTTTTCGCACGTCAATCAGAAACACCTGCACCTCCGCCATGGTCCACTCGTGGATTCTGGTCAGGGGTGCGACAATAAAAGCCTCGAATCCTGTGTTGAGGTTCTCATTCTCCCACAGACCCAGCTCCTTGTACTTCGGATCCTTAGGCCAGCTGTTGCTCGGCCACTTGTACTGCTTCAGATGCACGTCTTCGAACCCGATTTCAATCATCATCTGTCGCAGTTCCGGTATACTCTGGAAGGGACGGCCAATCTTGACCATGGCCTCGCCTAGTAAGTTGATAGCTCTCGAGACTGCGTGTTCTTCTGTGAGAGTACCGTCGTCACACGCAGGGTAGAGGTCGGTCTCGTTGAGCTCGAGATAGCCACCGGGCGCCAGACCACTGAGTAGATATCCAACGTTAGCCCCGTGTATCCCCGGGAAGGATGTTTTCTTACTCGTAACACTTCTTAAGGTATGTGCGCCAATTTGCAATGCTCGATGTCATCATGCGGCTATGGATAAAGTCGAACGGTCGCGAGAACGTCCAGGGCTCCTCAATGTCGTCGATCTCGAACTTCACGTTTGGCGGTACGCTGAGAAAGTCAGCAAAGTTGCCCTGTCCAGATCACTCCAGGAATGAATATACAAGTCGGGTTGAACAACAGAGAGATCAATACCCAAGACCTCAAATTACTGTTAGCGACGGTCAATGATACCCAAGGTTCTGTCCTCACCTCGGCCTCTGGGTGGTCGTCACCAAACTCGATGGCCCACAGCCCAGTTCCCGTGCCCACATCGAGCACACGCTTGATCTTAGAGTCTCTTGCGCACGGTGGGGAGGTGCCTAGCTGGTTGTCGTAGGTCAGAAGGAAGAGGTGATGTTGCAAATCTAAAGACGTTACGACGTGAGGCTTCTTCCGGAGTCGGATGACTTACCCAACCTCTCGGACTCCCGATCGTCGTTGGGATAGCTGTACTCTGTATCGATGAGCATCATTCTGGTGTTTGCTTGCTGTTCAGAGCCGGTTTCTTACTCCCATCCTTGTATCGATGATAGGTCCTGCCATTCTCGATTCTGTAATCCAAAATTGAGGCGGTCACGCTTGTTGTCGAGGATGCGACGCTCTAGCGTATAGTAAGTGTCTCAGAACATACGTTGCTGCTTACAACTTGGCTTGCAAAAACTCACGCCGAGTGCTGACGCGCCGTCGTCAACAGGCTACTCACGTAGTCAGTAAGGTAGGCTCTTGGAGTTCTTTGACAGAACTAGCATACCTCGTCGGCGACAAGCACGCCGTCAGTCTCAAGAGCCGGTGCCTGTAAAGCAGAGTTTGCAGCAACTGGAGGGGCCTCGCCCGTCTCGTTGGGTGCAGACATGGTTGAAATTGATTAGTTTGGACAATTCAGACAATCGACAGTTTATCTGCAGTCACTAAAAAGCTCAGACTGAACGAATATTAAGACCATTCTCCTGCATCATCTGACAATTTATCTCCTTCTACAGTTCACACGAGCCTTATTTACCCCTCTTCTTGGCCGGCGACGTCTCTGCATGTTTGTGACGAGTGCTGCATAAGCGACCGGTGCCCATGATTGTCGACGAGTCTGTTGGTTCTTCAAACGCAGTTTGCTACTGGGGTTGGTTCTGTGTTGGAACAGCCAGCCTTCCGTGATGGGGAAACACATCTTGAACCCTTGGTTCCGGCCCCAGATCCAATGAATAACAATAGTTCATCGCCGAATTTACCCACTGCCGCGCGATGCAGAGCATATGCAATGCAACGGACAATCCCGAGCGAATCGGACAACCCGCGGTTCGTCAAAAGATACGAGTTGGACCAACGAACACTGCCAAGAACTAGGGCCACCGGTTTCTGGATCGGGTAGGTAAGTAGAACTTTTCCCCTGGCTACTATCAAAACGTGAGAACAATTGCGAAAGGGCATTTTCCTCATGAAGGAGCGATCTGCAGACAATGCAAGCGGGCCCTCAGCTTTCCATGGCTGCTCAAGCCATCTCAGTTGCCAGCAGCCCCTCCAGCCTCTTCCACTGTAGGCTTCCGTCCCCAAAGAGAATATCTTCCTGTCGTTAGCCACACACGCACTCATAAGAATCAGGAAATTTCCACTTACATAGGCCAATAAGCATGAATCCTTCCATTCCCTAAGTCCTTCCGGACATCAACCAAGAAGACTTGAACCTCCTCCTGCGTCCACCCGTGGATTCGAGTAAACGGTGCCATGGCCCACGCTTCGACGCCCGCATTCAGGTTTTCATTGTTCCAGGCTCCAATCTTCTTATGCTTCGCGTCCTTCGCCCACGGGTTCGTCGGCCACTTGTACTTTTTCATCGTCACGCCGTGGAAGCCTATGTCGAGCATCATGTCCCTCAGCGCCGGGATGCTTTGGAAGGCGCGCCCGGACTTTTCGAGGGCGCCGAAGACGAGATCGAGATATATGTGGAGAGCATGTTCTTTCTGGAGGGTGCCGTCGTCGGAAGTGGGGTAGTCCATCTCGTTCATCTCGAAATAGCCGCCGGGGGCGAGACCGCTATGAGACTAAGCACGAGACTTTTAGGGGTGAGATTTAGAAAGGAGGGACTAACTCGTAGCATCTCTGCAGATAGACTCGCCAGTCCGACAGGCTGGAGGTCATCATTCGACTGTGGATGTAATCGAAAGGCTGGGAGAATGTCCAAGGTTCTTCAATATCGTCAATCTCGAACTTGACATTCGGCGGAGCGCTGTGTTACAGTTAGCCGCTAATACTCCTCACACTGATTTGATGAAACCAATGTAAAGAAAACATGGAGTGGGCTCATACAAATCTGGCTGAATGGCGGACAAATCAATGCCGAGCACCTCCATCGTCGGTTAGCCTTCCCAAATGTCGTCTGAGGACAAGGTTGTATGTCGGCCGACCTCGGCTTCAGGATGCTCATCTCCAAACTCGATCGCCCAAACTCCAGTCCCCGTGCCGACGTCCAGAACCCGCTTCACCTTGACGCCGAGACTCTTGTCATTGGGTGGCGCCGTTCCCAGCTTGTTGTCGTACGTGACGAGGAAGAGGTTGTGCTGAATCTCGAGGCGATCGTTTTCCGTCTCGTCGTTGGGGTAACTATATTCTGAGCACTTTCAATGGTCTGGCGTCTTTGATAGGGGCGCGGGGAAGTCCTACTTCCATCCTTGTACCGGTGATAGGTCCTGCCGTACTCTGTGCGGTAGTCGAGGATAGAACTGCTTACACTGGCGCTTGAAGACGTGATGCTCTGCCAAAGACGGAGTTGTAAGATTACACTCTGGATCTATTTTATTGGTGGGAGTCAATGGTTTCACTCACTCCGAGCTCTGATGCAGAGTCATACGTTGGCTGTGATGCCTTGATCAGCTACCAGCGACAACTCAAGCGGGGGCGTCACGCATACCTCATCGGCGGCGAGAATAACTTCTCCGTTATTGTTGGGAATGATGGCGGAAGATTGGGCCATCTTCGACTGAATTTGTGAGCAACGAGAGATGTTTTAGGACACACTTGTGACAGTCAGCGAGACTCGGCTATGGTGATGTTGTGAGATAGAAAACTGAGAGCGACGTGGGAAACTAGTCTATCTACTTCTGGGCTGCTGTTCAAGCCCTGCAATTCATCCCCTCTTTTGGGCCGGGGACAAGTGATGAATGTTGCATATGCGGCAGGTATCCTTGATGCATAGCATGCCATCGTTTGGGCCCCGCTGCCAATAAATGCATGGGCGTGATCGGTTGGGGTGTCAGGCAAGCTGTGTTGGAAAGGAAATCGTCCTAGACCCTGGCTTTGGATGCACATTGAAGGATCTCTGAGCCAGCCCTGTCCCTCATTTCAAGCTGTCCTCCGCGCTCCCCGATGCAGACACAACGTAGTAAATGAGGTTTCTCTAACTCAGGGTATGATTCGTTATTTTTGCATTATCCACGGCTGAGTGCAACGTCCTGTGGGGTACTCATGTTCATTCCGTTTTGCTTTTCTTCGGCCTATATCGGCCGATCTTACACTGGAAGTGTGCCATATGCGGCAGTTTGGCGGGTGATGACGGCCGGGAGGACACCGCCATGAGAGCCCGGAAAAGCGGGGCCACTTCGGGACCGGATCGGGCCCCAATTAGGCAACTGCTTCTTTGCTTGAGCAGTATCCTACTAGCGGCTTTTATGCCATGAACCAGATACTGAACAACACAAGATGATTGTGGAAGCACTTTGGGACAATTTCAAGTCCTCTCTATGTTCAAGGCATACGCATTCCATCTACTAAGCGTCTAGAACTTCGCCAAGGTGGTGCCGACCTTGTGCTTCCCAGCAAGCTCCAGAATGACCTTTCCAAGCGACAGATCCATGATTCCAATGCCAACACTCTTGTACACAACAAGCCCATTCGCAAGCCACTCCTTCAGCCCCTTCAACTCATCGTCGCCCGCTTTCCGCAGCCTGTCCGTGAACTCGCCAACCTCGACAATCTTCTCCGCGGGAATCTTGGCCTCCACAAGCTCGCCGGCCTCCAGAAAGCATGCCTCCCGACTGTCCACAAAGATCACGCCAGACTTCTTCTCACCCTGCGACGGCGAATACGCTCCCAGCGGCGTGTCGATGACGGCCCGGAGGAAGTCGGGGTCGATCTCCTTCATGTTGAGCTTGTACGACCCAATGGCGGCGATATACCGCGTCTTGGCCGTCGCGCGCTCCGACGTCAGCCACTCCGCGGGGAACAGGCGCTCAGTCGAAGGCGTCGTGCAGAAAATCACATCGCTCTCCTCAACCGCAGCCAGCAGACCGCTCTCATCGGCGGGGGTCGTCCCCGGCGCGGCCTCGATGACCGAGAACTCCACCCCCGCGCAGTCCCCAACACCACTCGCGGCACCCATTTGCCGCAACCGCTCAATCAGCTCGCGCGCGCGGGCCCTCCGACCGATTCACAATCGTAACGCTCTTCACATCCCCGCCGCGCAGCACGAGCGCCAGACGCAGATGCCACAGCGCCTGCTTCCCCGCGCCGAAGACCACGATCTTCTCCGTCGCCTGGCGGTAGCGGTACAGGAAGATGGAGCCCAGCGACGTGCGGAAGGCGGTCAGCTCCTCGGCGTTGATCACGCCGACGGCGCGGCCGGTGCCGTCGCACACGGTGAGCACGCAGCGCAGACCGCTGGCCGCGGCGTGCGGCGGCGGCAGGCCGACGACCTTGACGGACATGCCGCCCTCCATGGTCGCGGGCATGAAGAGGCCGGTGGTGCCGTCCGGGCGGACGACGGCGGCGCGGTGCGGCTGGTATTGTGCTTCTTGGCCGACGGAGTAGGAGAGGAACGCGTCCGTGAGGACGTCAGACATGTGGGCGACGTCGTCGGGGCCAAAGTTTTGGAAGAGCTGTTTTACGTCCTCGTCGGACAGGACTGTGAAAGCCATGGTGGGGGCGGGGGTTTGTTGTCTGCGATTTCTGGGGATGGGCGTTCGCTAGTGAGTTTTTGGAGAACTCTCGCCTTGAGAGTGAAAACACAAGTTGAAGAAGAGAGTTTGGGCGCTGCAAAGAAGTAAAATGAGTGTTGTTGAATATGGTCTGAGGATGTGTAAACGGATGGACCGAAGTACGCCGGTCCCTCTCCGAGGATTTGCATGCTGCGGGGCGCCGGTCGGACCCCTGTCCCCGTGGCCCGATCTCGGACCCCTCGGCTTGACCTGCCGGTTCCGGTGAGTTTCCTTGCCCTTTTGAGCCAGAATGTCGGGGTTCACCAGTCGGAACAACGATGCAGAAAGTCGGAGGCTCACGCCGACTTTCCATATTGTGTACGTTGGTTACATTCTTTATTGAATTAGTTCTATCTTGTCTGTTGTTGCTTGCGGATAAACACACATGTGGTGCCATTAATATGGTCACAGCGAGCATGTTTAAGGATGAATGCGATTCGCCATAATCATACCATTTCATCCGAGTTGGACTGACTCCGATTGCTTCAATCAGCGATATACTCCTGCGGGTGTGCAGCATTGGCTTACTTGCAGGCAAACAACCTACCAGTGCCGATGCAAGATTGGCGATCACCGGTCTAGTTCTGTCTCTGGACTCCAATTCGCTTGACGGTGATCTTGTCTGCTTGTTAAATTTTGCAGCAATATTTTGACGTGACCTTGCATCTTTATGGGAAGCAATTCCTACCCAGACGTCTAAACGAGACTGCATCACGGAGATGCGCGCGTCAATAAATTGGCCCAACCCGCAACAAGACGTCGATCGAGGGGGGAAAGTCTCAAGAGGCAAGTGAACCGGCGCCTTGCCCCCTTTCGTCATCGCCAGCATGAGTGTATTGGAAGGCTGCCGGCTGAGCGCAAATAGAAAGCAGGCAATCGTCGACACCAGGTC